TATAAATATATAAATATATTTATATGTTATAAATAAATATAGAATAAATATTCTTATTTTTACAACAATATTTTGGATTGAATACTTTACAATATTTAGATATAAAAATGATATAATTTGTTTTTAATTCTATAAAAGTAATATAATAATATCATATTAAAATTCTAAGTTAAAAAATATATCTGAAAAATCATTTACAATACTAATAATAAAAAATACAAGCAAAAACGTTATTAAGAATTTATAAATGATATATTTTAAATTATTTTATTATTAATTTTATAAATAAATAATCATTTTACATTGATATACCATATCATAAATAATAAATATAATAATAATATTTATGCATTCTATTATTGATGTAAAATATAATTATTCTATAAAAATATTATATAATTAATTGAGAAAAATAATTGAACTATCAAAAATATAATCTATTTCATAAATTTAAATAAAATTATCAACTTAAAACTATTAATTTTATTAAACAATTATTTATTTTATATAGAATTTAAATAAATTCAAATTTATATATAATAGTTCTTTTTTTATTCTTATCCATATATTTCACGAATACTGATTTGCATAATATTGTTGCATAAAAATTGTTTTATTTATTTTATAAATAATTGTTTAATTTTATTTTTTTATTATTTTATAAATTTTAAATTATTAAATTAATAAAAAATAATGAAATCATTTACATATGAAAATAACTATTTATATAAAGATTACTAGTTAATTTTGTTTTATTAGATATGTCTTGCCGATCAAGAATAGCTGTTCTTAATGAAAAGCTTACAACACTAGAAAGAAGAATTGAGTATCTAGAAGCATGTGTAAGTTATTGTTTATAATTTAAAAATATACAAAATTAATTTTAAATAATTATAAATATATTAAACATACAGCAATATCAAAAGTTTCAAAAATATTTAATTTCCTATCAAATTAAAGATAAGAATCTTATTTATAATAAAATTTTGTTTTTCTTTTTATTTTAATTTATTATTACATCACAGACTAGAATATTGTTATAGTTATACTATACTAATCTGGATATTACTATCAAATATGTACTATCTATATGTATATCTATATATTTATAAATATATATGACATAATAAATAAAACTTTATTACTTTTACTGATTCAAATAATTTTAAGAATAAAATTTTATAGAAATTTTTAAAATCAATTTTAAATTCAATAATTAAAAAGAATTAATGAAAATTACTAATTTTTATTCATTTTGATATATTTAAATTTTATATATGA